CTCCCAGACGTCATTGTATGTCATGTGGTTAAACGAGTCCTTCTCTCACTTTAAAGAAGATCTCCTCTACATCGCGGATTCGTACGAAATGTGTATTATTTTTTACATCAACGAATGAATCTGATTGTCATTATGCATTTAGCTGTTGGTATTCTGAATTGATTTATGCATAATTATAATTTCTGCTTATTGGATCTTCTTGCAAATGCATCGAATCCTCGAGTCTACACGTACATACGTGTTACGTGAGTTATTTCTCAAATTTCCATTTTCAGTTTATAGTTTGAATAGTGCAAATGTTTCTCTCCTTCGAAAGTCAACTCTACAGCCGGAGTAGTGCCCACGATCTCGCGAAAATGTATTAACGAAAGGTAAACGTTTGAACTGGTCTCTCGCTGTTTAAGACTCAGGAGAGAGAACCACCCCTCGCCCCCTGGAGCGAACAGGGGCGGAAGGCTGGTTTACCTATCGCCATTTTGCATCGGGCAATTTCCATTGTTTCGCGGGATTAGTAAACCCATATTGGAGGTTGCCCGAACCGCCGTCCGCCCCCACCCCCTCATCCCCGGTTTTACCCGCCCCCATCCGCCCGTTTCCCTTCTTCTCCCGCGTCGGTTCTTCGCGTGGCACCCACGGGAAAGAGAGAAGCCCCGTCTCCAACCCCCGTAGACGACCCGGACTCGTTTCCACCCCCGCGTAGTTCCCGTCGCTTCCCGATTGGCCGATTCCAACCCCGTGACGTCGTCCCCGGCCCACCCTCGTTGGCCGACGTGTTTTATCGACATTTCTACCACCACCTGGTTTTCATCCCCCGTCCACCCCCGCCGCCTCTACACCGCCGATCTTTACGTGCGCGCAAGGGGGTCGCGGGGGCTGACACACGTGGGTGGCTCGATCGGGCTTTTCCTCTTTTTTCTCTCTTTCCGTTTCAACGTTCCTCTCGCTCTTTTATATTATTTCTCTTTTTCAACGAGACCGCCCCCCCCCCTCATCTCTGTTTTACTTTTTCATCTCCGAGTATCCGTCTCTCGATTTTCTTTTACGTTCGTCCATGTCCAGAAAGAAAATAGCGGCTTGCAAATGTTGCGAAATCTACAAGGGATTAGTGGAAAGATGGAGTTGGAAATCGCGAACCGGCTAGAGTCGAAATTATTTAAAACTGACAATAGTCCTCGGCACAATTCATTTTTCTATCAGAGATTACCTCGTTTCTCTGTTTTATTCTTTCATCTCCGAGTATGTCAATTTTCTGTTACGTCTCAGTGCAGGATTCCATGCTCGGAAAGAGAGCGTCTTGGTTTAGAAGAGACAATTAGTATGAAATGGGGAATTTGAAATTATGAACCGAGTGGAACCGAAATTGTTTGAAGTCAATGTCTATTGTCTGTGCAGTTGTTTGAGTGTTTGTTAGAAGCGGCGGGGATGGACGGGGGTTGGTTGGGGTGAAAGCCAGCAATTGTTTTTCCTTCCCAATGCTTCTATCTGGGATCAGTCTACCTTCCTGTTTCATTTCTTACAATTAGCCTCTGAGTATATCTCGATCTCCGATCACGTTTCTCCACGCAGGATTCCACGCTGAGGAAGAAGGAATTTCGCAAATCTTACAACGCGTACAGAAAGATTAGTGTGAAAAGTAGAATTTAAAATCGTGTGACTGAGTGGAATTGAAAATTATTTGAAACCAATAAGATTCTTTTGTGCGATTGCAAATCGGGATGCGCGCAGCGAATGGAAATTCGCGATTGGTTATGCACGGTGCAGTCCCGGTTGCCTCGTGATTTACGTGCATAGTTTAAAATTATGTACGCGTACGCAAGGGTAAGCGTCTCTTTTCCAAATTACATGCATCGGCCATAACAATCGATCGGTAATCGTATTAACAGGTTCGTATTTTATAACATTTATTCACAACTCAATGCAGAATTATAGGTAAATATATTTAGGTAATTCTTTTTCCGCATCGAAGTGGACGCGTTATTTTCTTTTCAAAGGGGGAGATCAAAAAGTATCGAATCATTTATATTCCTTTTGAAACCCTCTATTTTTGATTATACCCTATGACAGAGAGGCCTCCGACCCAACCCGATCCAACAGTCAAAGTTCAAAGTACATATATTCCAGCGAAATTTTATTATATCCTGGCAAGTATAACTGCGTTTCACTTTTTTTTTTTTTTTACACCTACGTCGAACGATACCGTACACTTTGGCAAATCGATAAAAATGTTCCACAAACGTCGTGACGTAATACCTGAATTAAAATAGCTGACTAAAAAGTAGTCATGAGTGCATTGAAAAATTGCAATTGCAGCAATCGCGAATGGAATGGCCGAGATAAAATGTATGTATGTATGTATGTATTTGAATGAAAATCGTTTTATAAAATTAAAATATGTTTCCGAGCGAGGACTAGTAAAAATCCAATGAATAACTGCGATTGCGAATTCTAATTAAGAACCGCGATTGTCATGGCGATGTTAAAATATTTATTCGAACGAGAAATTTTCTATCTAATTAAAATATATATTTCCGCGTCGAGGTAACTAAGAATCAGATGGAAATATTGACGATTGACGAGTGTATCGATAAAAGGGTAATCGAAGAAAGAAACAGAAGAATTCGCTTGTGTACGTTTAAAGTTAAAAGATCCTCGGTAAAGGTAACGTCGTCGACCGTTTCTGATATTTTCTTTTTTTTATTTACAACTCTGCAGAAGCTTTTTGCGATACATACTCGTGCACTTCCTACCACCCCCTAAGAGGGAACCGGAAAGCTAAGAGTTCGTAATTCAATAACCGTTGCTCTCTCCGAACCCTCTTCAACCCCTGCCCCTGGCCTCCCCCTAGAACGCGAGGGTGGCTCGCGTACAGAGAAAGTGCAGCTTCTCTCTCAAAATGTCCGACTAGCAGCTACTTTGAGGACCAAGATACCGGGAAAACTATGCTACTCCTCCAGAGAAACGTACAGAGGTAAAGGGAAAATGGATCCGAACAAATGGGTAATGGATTACTCTCTCTCTCTCTCTCTCTCTCTCTCTCTCTCTCTCTCTGTGCACTTTTGTTCTTGTAACCATCCTTCTTTGTGTGCGACGGTGTTCCCTGGACAAGTTTTATGCTTCTGCTTGACAGACGTGTGAAACAGGTAAAAGGGAATGTAATCAAATGTTATAAAACCTGCACAGGAATTTGAGGATAAATAGTGTATCAACGAGCTTGCGATTATTACGGGATTAAATATGTATAAAACTGTGAAGTCTTGTATTTTATACTTGGCAAAGTAGATTCGCGTTCAAGTATAATTTTTAGGTTTATTTTATAGAAACAATTATGATGAAAATTACCTTATCAGTTTCAATTAAATTCTGGATTAAATAGTTTCCGAATTCGAATTAGGGGTAATATACCCTTTCGTGGTTAGAGCTCGAGTATTTTTGAAAGATGACGACACAGTGACTGAAAAGGAGGTGGTTTCGCGAAAGTACATGGTACGGTGGCAAAGTTGAGACGAGTCGGGTGAGGGTGGAAGGGTGAGTCGGAGAATAAGGGTGGCGCTGTACCGGAGGCTGCCATTATATCTGAGCCGCCATTTTAAATTGAATTTTCTCCACCCTAGATAGATCTGAAACGTCTCGGCCTTCTTCTTCTTCTTCTTCTTCTTCTTCTTCTTCTTCTTCTTCTTCTTCATCCTCCTCCTCTACCCTAGTCACCCCCGGCCCCTGTGCGCCGCGTTTCGATGGGGTAAGAGGATGAGCAACAGTCCTTATATATCTCGTCCTCCAACCCCGTCTCGCGATGGATACACCCTGTGCGTTTTCCACCCCGTTGGAAAATAAGTAAAAAAAATTCTTCGCGATTAACTGATACGTGTCAAGTATTAAGTTTGATCTGGTTTAAAACGAGATCCAAATACAGATATTCTTAATGTACTCGTGCATCAGTGAATAAGATGAAATAAATCCTCATATTTCACAAAGTATCGTCGTTCGTTCTAAGAAGGATTCTATCAATTATTATTATTAACGCGTTTCGTACGACGTATTGAATTTGCAGTTGAACATCTATTTATTGATTCAGTGTATTTCTTTCATAATAGCATTTGCTAGATTTAAGTAGTAGTTGCATATTAAATTGCGATTCTTGGGATTCATTGAGCTTAGCCGAAGGGTAATTCAGGATTGTGACAACAGTAATGATAAGTAAAAAAGAGAGCAGGGTAAGGGAATAATTCTCGAATCACCGCACAAGAAATCCCATTATATGCTCGAGGAGGGCTATGAAAAGAGAAGAGAGGAAAAAAGTGGGACGGGGTGAGGGAAGATATTGAGTTAGCTAAGTTTTCATTCGACCTTTTTACTTCGATTCGACTTCCGATCGAGGGCCTACTGCTCCACCTGGCCGAGACCTGGGCGTTTTACGGGAAAATTCGCTTCCCGTCCAACAGGAAATTCGGCAAATAAAAATCCTCGCATCAAAAATGTTTTCGTAATATCGCGGATTTATACATTAAATCGACTTATAAAATAATTTGCAGAAATTCTTATGACTTTCATCTAATCCCCGTTATCGTATATTATTGTATGATCCTTTAAAAACAGTGATGTATATAAAAGTTTTCTATAAACGCATCAAATTTTTAATCTGTTAAGAACTTGTAACTTTAAAGTAGAAAATTTGTTCTCACTTTTTTATACAGAAAGGGATTTGAACATTTCCCACGTCAGTTTCTGAAACGAAATAAGAAGATACCGAGTCGTAGGCATCTTTGAAATCAGTTTTTCGAAGATTATTTAGGTTTGATTTTCTGAACTGATATCAACATTTATCACACAGTGAAGGTAAACAAATTGTATAACTTCCCAAAGGGATTGAGAGACAGCGTATCGCGTAAGAGAAATACGAGTGAATAGAGGCTTGGTAGGAGGACGGGGGGGTGGGTTTGGTAGTGCGGTTTTTGACGACGTTAAAGAACGAGGAACAGGACGTTGGCTTTAGCCGAAACATCCAGAAGCGGGTACATATTAAAACAGTTCCGCCATTTCGCCCCGGTTGCGTTGCGTCGCGTTGCGTCGCCGTTACCGTTACTGCTCTTTTGATACATAATGCATCGCGGCGTTGTTTGAGTTAAAAGCTCAGGGAACCGCGGCGACTTAACCCTGTTAAACTGTCCTGAGCCAAGTAAAACGCGGTTTGCTTTTCGCTTTTGCTTTTACCGGTCATAATCCATGCACAAAGTGCCCCGAAACCGGAGTCTTTCGAACACTCTAAACGCCCCTTTTCCACTTTCCTCCCTGCCCCCCCCTCCTCCTTCGTCTCTCTCTTTTTTTTGAACTTTCAGTTTTCGAAATTAACCCCCCGGTCTGTGTGTTTCACTTTTAGTTTTTCAATGTGTCCCTTCGTATATCATCAATGCTGTAAACTCTGTGCCTGAGCAAAGAAAATGGAAATTGTTATCACTTGTCCTGTTTTAATTGACGAACTTCAGAGATCGTTATTATTGTTTTTAACATTGAATACGAGTTCGTTTCGAAACGCTGTTTCCCCTGTCGATCGGCTCGCAGCCCTCGGAAGACACTCGCGGGGCTGGTTTCTTGGATCGACATTTGCGCGGATAATTTCATTCCAGCTACCCTTCGTGCGTCTTTCATTGAATTATCGTGTGAGTCATACCAAAAAAGACACAGGCTCGGTATGATAGGCTAAATTTCGTTATCGAGCAAAGATACTTCAGGTTTAAAAAATATTTATATCCTCTCGTTCTTTTTGTCAGTACCACAATCGTTTCCAAACGAATTTTATATAATGTTTTAGTTTCTGTTTTAGAACACGTTTATTATGTTGTTTCATTGGAACGTCGGAGAGGATTCTTCTTTAAATCGTCTTTCTCGTTTATAAATTGAATCGTTGCTTGCTCATTATTTTTCTCATTCGTGAAAGAAGAAAAGGAAAGTGTTAAGGGTGGCACCCACCTGAATCCGAGCCTCGTTCAATTTCGTGGACCTAGCCAGCTCCTCCCTGCAGTATATGTCCGGATAATGGGATTTCGCGAACGCCGATTCCAATTCCGCCAGCTGCTCCTGCGAAACAATTATTCGTTTTGGACCCACGACGCCTATACATATACATAAGTAGTACATAAAACCCTCGGATATTCCACCGTGAAACGAGCCAATTTACACGTTTGCTAAAATTCCAATTATTTTAACTATTGTTCAGGCATCTTGTATTATAAGAGTGGATTAATCAATTTCAATCTCTACTCAAACTGTGTTCGGAATTAGATTCTCGATCTATGGAATGAGAAATCAGCAAATAACACAGTTTAAAATTCATTCATTAATTATTCTTCTCGTTAAAAAATAAATTACAAGCTCGTTCGATTACGTTTTATAAATGTATAATCGAGAATAGTGATCGCTGATGAACGAACCTGGGTAAAAGTGGTCCTGTGCCGTCTGCGCGCGGGGGTGGGACAGCTGGCGGTGGTTGGGGTGTGACCGATGTGAGGGCTCGATGCGCAGGGGTCCGGTTTCAGCTTTTTGAAAGCTCCTTCCGCCCCTAAAATATTCAAAATCGACTTCCTTTATTCCATACAATTACACATCGACAAAAATGTTTCATGATCTTTTTTACTGTTTCGTTCGCTTAAATGATTCTACTTTCGGATCGCGGAACAATAAAAAGTGAATGTCACGACGCAGTGTCTTCAGGTAGACCCCCTGAATCCTGTTCGCGTACGAGTACACATACAGAAGAGAGAGAGAGAGAGAGAGAGAGAGAGAGAGAGAGATGGGGGGAGGTGGGGGAGGGTAACGGTGGCGAGAAGCAAAGTCCCTCGCACTATGCTAACTCGGTTAGGGCGTTAATGACCTAATCATGTTACATGCTGATTCAATGTTCAAGGATGAATGCTGTCCACTTTACATACCTTGCCCCCGTTATCCCGGCGAACGGGAAACTCGGTCAAGTTCACCCTGAGACGCCCCTTCTTCTTATCTTTCTTATCGTTAATCATATCTACCTCCCGACTGAACCACGAAGAACGATATTCGAAATATATCATGACACCCACACCAGGCTGTCTAGTCTGATGGTCCCGTTTTCGTTTGAAACGCGTGGTAACAATGCGTGGTCAGTCCCAATTTCGAGGATCAGAGCAGATTAAACGAGGATGAAGATAATTAGTCGCAAGGATATCGTGAATCTGATGCAGCTGATTTCTGTGTCGTTAGTACAGATAATTGAAATCCCTATGCAGCTGTCTTCCATTGGCATCTGCCCTAAAAGTCTGCCCTCGGTCCATTTTCACAACCCCTTCTCTTCGAGGTCTGACGAAATTGTATGGTACGTTCTTTTATTGAATTCCGATGAATAATTGTAATTAGGATTTCCGAATACTCTAATTATTACAATCGATGTTGTAATCAATACCCAAACACTATCATTTAAACAATTATTATCCTTGTCCCCCTGATTGATACCCAGACACTCGATTAGCTGAACGGTCATGATCTGAATACATCAGCTCACACGTAAATACGTGAACATCAGAATATTTCTACCTAATCGCTTTATTATAGGAAATATCTCGGAAACATCGTAAAATGGTGTCACTCTCAATAGTTTCCTTCTTTAAACAGAGGAGGGTAAGAAAACCACGAAAGTAATTCCTCAGATTTTAAAACGAAGAAGAACCTCTCGAATAGTTTTAATAATTCCCGCGGCGGGAACCCTGGGGTTAACGACATTAATTTTTCCCTCTTCAATTCAGCTTTTTTTCCCCTCCCTCTTCCGCTTAGCGGACTTTTCCATTTGCATTAGAATAAGAACAGCGCGACCTTAAAGAGCCAGAAACGGAAAGCGTTCTCCTTATCCAATAATAAGTGCACAGATATTAATGTCTGTATTTTACAGTTTTCTCAAACATTCAATTCTTCGAACGGGATAGTAAAAACGGCAAGAAAAATGGAAAGTTCGAACCCTTTGATAATTATACCAAATATTTCTCTCTCTTAATGCGACAATAAATGTGATACAAAAGCCCACATAAAATTTGCATACGTCACTTCCACAATTGAAATCCAAAGCAAAGTACAGACAGAGCTAATTCATTTATCTTATGGTTACGTTTTACGATCTATGCACAAAGTGTTTATGTTCTATTGCGTTCGGGATTTTGTTTGAGAAAAGAAATGGGCAACGCTGAGTGTCGACATAGACGAATTTTCCGGTTATTGAGCTTAGAGTACATCGTGTACAGCGAAGGTGTTGACAATGGGGCGATGGTGGAAAGAAACGGACCATATGGTGGTACCTGTTCCACAGGACCATTATTATGGGGTTTAAGAGAGCTCAGCACCGAAGGGCGCGTGCTAATGGGGTTCCTCTATCCTAGTTTCCCTTTTCGATGCGTGCATTCACAGTGACTTGTTGCCGACTACCAATCGAGAAACTCAATATGCTACAGATGTTATCTTCCCGTTGACAGGTCCGAGGTCCTTTGTCAACTTCCGATTATTCTTACGATTATGATCCACGTCAAATAATGTATGAAGCAGTGTGACTCTTAAAAAGATGTCAATGACTGAGGATGTAAATTCAGTTTATAAACTCGTGAAACGTGGAATTGCAGATGCGTAAAACTATTCGATGAGATGATCTAATGAAACTTTTAATCGACAGTGACGACAATTTGAATATGCCAATTCATTGTGAAATAATGTTTTTCGAGTACACATACCGACGGTAGAAGTGGCCCCGACGCTGCTTCTCCCAGGAGTCGCGGCAGGGGTGGGTGGACTAGCTTCCAAACCCTGGTGAACCCCGTAAAGGCTGAAATCTTGTTCGTTGGAGCTCGCGCTGCTGCACTTCCTCTTCTCCTGGTTGTGATTCAAGTGGAAACTGTCGTTTTCGACGAGACCGACCCCTAACAGGCCCAGGTTCGGCCTGAGCTCGTCCATCAGTTTGTTCTGGCCGCAGTTAGCAGCCGCCGCCGCGGAGAAGTTCAATTGGCGGCTGAAGATAGCCGGGAATATGTTGAATTGTTGGTGATCGAGGCTGAGAGCGGTCGTCGGCAACGAGGAACCGCCGGCACCGGTACCGGCGCCGCCGCCTCCGACGGACGTCGAGCCGACGGAGCCGACGGATCCCACGCCCCCTGCACCGGGACCGCCGGCACTTCCGGATAGGTCGTTAGCCAGCGTGATGCCGGGTTGTGACCTTTTCCTGGTCTCGCTTCCGCGAAATGTTCTTCGACCTCTTCGCCTTCTTACCAGAACGCCGTCGTCTGCTCCATCTCAAGAAACCGCGCACAAACTCTCCTTTTCCCCAGTCTCTCCGATGCTGTGTTCACTCAGAACCCCGAGTTCGGTTCTGTTCTCGTATTCAAATCTCCTCTTCTATCAATGTTTCGGATTCTTCGTAGTCAATCTAATGTTCACTCAGATCTGAATCAGGCTAGGTTCTGATCTTGTTCAAGGTTTGATCCTTTCCTCCAATTTTTTTATTTTTGGTATTAGGAAAATAGCGATGATGTTTGGTTTTCTTAACTTGAGACACTTCCCTCGCTTTCCTGCAGAGAAGATCGGACTCTAATCTAGAGTTTTTCTCTGCAACTGGAATTAAGTTCCGTAAACTGTATCTTATTTTTCTTTTAGCCACGTAAATACGATCGAGTGCAAGAGGCTTGTGGAATTTTGTTTCGAAGATCAGACTTGGAATCTCATGTTCTTTGCATGAAACCAAAATCAGTTTCTATTTCTATCGGAGTTAGACAGACGATAGACCACGATCAAGTTCATGAAATTCTGCTTCTTAACATCACTTTCGAGTTCACGAATGTATTATTATATTCTTCTGAAGATCAGGATAATTTCTTTCAGTTTCTCCAGTTTTTGAGAGACTGCTTGAATCACGAGATTTTTAATAGTACTTGCAACTTCCTAGAAATTCCTGTTTCTGTAATTTTGCTAACTCAGTCTTCGGTTTCAAACGAGTGTCTCCATTAGCTTACTTTCAAATGGTTTGGTTTCCTCCAATAATATTTTCTAATTTCACTAGCTTCGTCTTTTACTTCCAGTTGAAATTTAGTCGAATTTTCTCAACAATCTTCTTGTTCCTCTCGTTTTCTATCTTAGAACTCGCGTATGGATTCACTTTAATTTAAATTAGTCAAGTGACTATGCTAATTATATTCTGTTAAGTATCATTGATACTTTGTGCGATCTTTTGTTCTCAGGCAGCTTTTATTAAGCAATATAGTTTCCAAAATCAATGTCTCGATACTATTCAGCGTTACGTCACCTTGTAAAACAACACGTTTACATCGTATCTTGACTGACAAGTATGAACAATTACGATGATAAATTTGAAGATAGACAAGACGTTCAGGTGAAATTATTTCTTCTTCGATTCTTCGAGACGAGCAGTTCCAAGTTTCGATGACACGTTCAGCAGTTTTTACTCCTTTCACACAATATCGAAGACACTCTCTTCAGAATTTATTCCTTGCTCCTTCTACAGCTGTTATATTATGCACAAAGTGCAGTTTCAACTTGAGGATTCGTCGTCGGTCTTCAGTATTGAGAACGCACTTTTTACACGTGCAGAATTGACTTCTGTTATTCGTTTTTTTAATTTACTCGATTTTCTATTAGCTCTCGTAGTGGATTTCCTATTTCGGATTGTATCAGTTGTTCTCCTTGTACTTTTATGTATACTCCCTGTACCTTTTGTGACTGTCAGAAATTGTTCGGGACTCCTTCAAAATTATGCTGGATCTCTTGAAGTTGAGGTTATCACTGTTTTCTTCTCTCTTAAGCCGAGCGTTGCAATCGTGGTGATGCTTAATCTTGATTCTTGAAAGCCGTAATCCAAATTCTCGAGCCCCAATTTTCACTGTTCCTACGTCGAATCCCACCAAAAAAAATGTCTCCTCGCGCGTCTCTCTTCGATCCTCTTCCCGACGACGACGGCCGATGCAACCTTCTTCGAAATCACCGCGAATACCAAACTAAATTCGTACCGGAACACTGCCTGACCAGGAGCAAACGTGAACTTCTTAGAAACGCGCACACGTGGGACAAAGAAAGAAGGTTGACGGTGGAACGGGGGGGGGGTGGAAGCTCCGATTCGAAATTCAAATCTTATTAACCGGTCGATGCAATTAAGCGGAGGGTGGCAGGGTTCGAAGAAAGGGGAGAGGGGGTGGCCTTGAAAATGGAAATATCGAAAATAATCCGGATCAGTCGGAGTCGTTCGCGTGAGCCAAGCCGAAGGAAAAGCTCTGGCTCTCCTTGCGTGGCTCGTTTTCGGTTAGAAAAACCCCGACGGAAACGATATAGTGGAGAAGATAGTACAGTTCGGTCGGTCGTGGCGTTAGAGGGGCGACCGCTCGCCGTGAGTTCTTGTGGGATTCTGTCCACGAAATGCAGTTATCCCGAGCGACTCCGAGCGGGGGGTAGCGTTTACCGGGGGGGTAGCTACCGGCCTGGTAGGGGTTGGCTGTTGCACGAGCAGGGAGCACGAGGTCTCACCCCCTCGGTGTCGCCCGATTGGACGGCGACAGGGATGCGTTGCTCTGGCAACCACCAATCGCAGCCCTCCCTGGTTCGTTTACCCCTTTCACCCCTCGGTCCGGCCAACATGGCGCTGGCCGCCAATAAAAATTCCTCCGGAAAATAGCCTGCGAGCGATTTTCTTTCCACCTAGCTTTCCCGACGACACACTCACACAACCCAATACGCGTTTCCCATCCAGTCGCTGTCTTCCCTGTTTCCAACCCTTGACTCGCTCCTGCTTTCCTTTTTCCGTTCCAAGAACCACGCTCGCTTTCCTCTTTCCGCGTCTTCGCCGGCCGGACTGGCATATTGCTTTTTTAATTACTTTTTTCATATATCACTGACCTGGCCGCGATTCGGAGAAAAACCGTTCGATTCGTAACCGAAGAATAGCTTTTTTTTTTCCATGTATTTTTTTCCGGTCTCCCAGTCTCTGCGTTTCCCGGTTTTGCAATGGAAAAACGAATACCCTTTTTCGAAACTCATACATTGTGTTTCACTTGTGTTAACGAACCATGCATGCAGGTCAGTAAAACGAAAGAATATTCATGTTACCAATTGTTACAAACATTGTACTGACGATTGTCATGCAAAAGAGTCTTCGAAAATTATAATATCCATTTCAGTTTCGACGTTCTTCACGTACATCGACGTCTATGTACATTTTTCATATTATTTGTAGACGTCGAATTCACGGTTTGATTGGATCGTATTCAATTATGCGATTTTAAAAGGTTTGAAAGGAACAGATTGACAGGATTGTATCCAATTATGCAATTTTGAAACGAATGAAAATAAAGCAAAATGGTCATAAGTCTGTGAGGATTCGATTTGAACAGGTTCGATAGCAAACGACGTAATAAAGATCTGTTACATGAAAATCTTTATCGCTAGACAAGATTAATCCGTCTTCGGACACCCCTGACGATATTCTCAATTCTGAGACTCGGGCGTATCCTATCGTTGCCCTCGCGAACCCCGAGGAATCCCTTAGAGTCGAACCCTCCCTGGTAAACCCTTCGATTCGAACCCTCTCTGGAACCGAGACACGAGGGGGTTGGTCTCCTAGCCCGAGGGGGCGAGCTCGAAGAACCGGGGGCAAAGGGAAGAGTATAAAGTTCTCTTCAAGTTCCTTCCGAGTTCCGCAAGGAAGAAGTTGGTCATCGTAGCGTCGTAGCAAAAATCAGAATTCCTTTTTTCTATATGTATATGCGATTTGGGTCACGCGTTTTATCAACTTTCGCGGATGACAGAATATGTCTAAAATAGTCCAGAGCTGGCTTATTAGAATTAGACTGTTGATTCGTGAAATAGAACTTTGATGAGGTGAACTTAAAATATGAAGTCTAAATATATAATGCACGTGGTTTGTTGTATTACGTTTATAGTAAACTTGTTATTGTACAAATGTCATCTGAAAACGTCAATAAATCGTTTCGTCGCGTTGAAATTCGCAGCTATTAAAAAATCGCGGCTCTATTATGTCCATTCGAACGCAATGCGACTATTTGAAAAAAAGGAATTGATTGTCGCCGTGTTCGGGTAGCGAGCAATAACGTATCGTAGTATTTAATAGAGCTGTTGTGAACGCGGTCCGTGGATCGTAACTTGATTACATAGTTACCTGGAATATTTTAGCCGCAATTTTCCCGGGAAAACTCATACCCACCACTCGTAGTTCGAAACAGCGTACGGTGGCTTTGTTAGATGGGAGTACAAAAAAAAAAAGGAGATAGAGAGAGAGAGGCCAATTATTATTTTGGATAGAAAGACAGAACGCCCATCGTCGGTGACGCGTGGCTATATTTTCGAGGGCTGCAATTTTCTTCGCAGCGGTGAGGCTGAAGTTTCGCCTCTCGCGCGAAGAATCGGCCAATTCGTAACCCCATTGAGGTTTCAGTTTATTCCATCCGTGATTGTTCATTGAAACGTTCCCATGGCTTCAAACCAGATCTCCCACGTATATTCTTTAAAATTAATCACATTATTCATATCAGTAATGTTTCTGTGTAATTTGCAAATTAATGCTTCTAATTAATCATCAATTAATTCTTTGATCTTGAAATAACAGACACGAGCAGAATATTTGCTCTTATATGTAGAAAATCAGTTCGGTTCCATGTAACGTCAAACCACTGTTTGTAGATTTCATTTAGAAGAGGGTAGATAAGTTAGATCAGCCAGATCGGAAACGACTTTACGGTCTACGTGGACCATATGCACTGGCCCCGGTCCCATCGACATGATCCGGAACGCTGATAAATCCATGGCTTCGTAACACACTCTTCTCTTCAAATAAGTAGATCCTTGTCAATTTTTATGACGCATGGATTACTTTGAGTCGAGATCATAATCCAAGACCTTCTTCAACCCCTTCACCCATTTGTTTTTTACAGAAGACGCTTTTTAAATGCTCTTTTCAGGAAACTATTATTTATCAGGGAGTGGAATAAAGAAATGAATTAAACAATTATACAAATATACTTATAGATTATCTATATTATTATTATTATTACATGTAAGAGTATGAAAATTTCAACGAGACTTGACGAAGCCACAGATGAAAGCAAAATGTTGTAATAAAGATAGATATTGTTATCCTGGAATCATAGATTTGTTGTTCGATTATCTGACTTGGCGATGGGAGAGGGAGAGAGAGAAATAGAAGGGTAGGAGAGGGTATAATAATCGATAGAAATTCTATACCACGTCAGGTTTGTTCGCGGCT